CATCTACCATCGTTAATTGCAATTCATCAATTTAAGCTTTTATTTAACGAAAAATTACACACATCAACAATCTTTGCGATTGTAAAAATTTTCTATGCATTTGTCGAAAATTTCACTAGCCTCATGAGCTACTGAAATTTTATTCACCTCATAGTTGTCAAAAATTTACTCGCCGCGAACTTTGTTGCCGATTCACACACGCTCTATGTCCAATAAATTCTGTGCGCGTGTTCCAGCAGATTTATCGATTGTTCTAGTTTGTTTACCTTTACAGCATACAATACACCCTTTATCATTTGCGCCGTTGTAATTAACTCCAACAGTTGAATTCTGCACCTGCTTCATGCTTTGCTTACAAATATGTGCCAACCTACGATGCCAAAGCTTAAAGCTGTCAATCGTTGTCATTGCTCTACCAACTAGAAATTTTTCGCAGTCTAACTTATACAAATCGTTATGCACATACGCTATTGCAATCAATTCGCCCTTCGAATCGAAAATCTTGCACTCATTGCCTTCGAACACCACCTTTTTGTTTTGCCTTGTTATTTGCCGCACTGACAAAAGATTAGCGCAAAGGTTAGGAACATACTCTACATTTCGAACATTAGTTGCAATTTTTCTTTTGTCTACGTTCAGAATTAGGCAGACATCGCCTACACTTTTGACAGTCACTCGTTCTTTATTTGCCAAAATCACTTCGCTGAGCTCTGCCGCTCTTTCGTTTGAAAGCAACCGCTGATCATTTGTCATATGTGACGTTGCGCCTGAATCGACGTACCACAAACTTTCGCCGTTCTGAGGGTGAAAACATGAGTTTGCTAACAGCGAGTTGGAAACCATAGCCGTCCTGTTTTTACCTTCGCTCGCATTAGCTTTTTTCGACTGCATACTCTTGCGACACTCTTTACGCATATGGCCTTCTTGACCACAATTGAAGCATCGAAACTTTTTCTTATTAAAATTTTTGTCACCCTTTTTCTGTATGTTTTTCTTTGAATACAAAGCATTGTCCGTAGAGTCTTTGCTGCAGTCAAATTTGACGTCTTGCAACAACAAACTCTTAACGCCGTCGACAGTTAATTTTGCTTTTGAATTTTCTACTGCCATAACGAGTGCTTGATACTCATTAGGCAACCCAGCAAGCAATAGTGAAGCAACAACTTCGTCGCCTATATTTAGACCAGCATTTTGCAGCTTGATTGAAGTCCTTACCACCTCGTTTACGTAATCCTGTATGGATTGGAATTGCTTCAGCTTCAACTGCACCAGCTTTTTTAAAAGCTCTACCTTGCGAGTTAAACCACTGTCTTCATATGCTGCCAATAACGAGTCCCATACGTCTTTTGCACTTTCGGCGTTTGCTATGTGCGAAAAATTACTCGGCTCTACCATGAGCGTAATTTCTGCCAGCGCCCGTTCATTTGCGTCACGATCCTTTTCCGAAGAATTATCAGACAACCCATTCTGGGTTATCTTCCAGCAACTTTTCAACACCAAGTAGGATTTGGCATTCCTCCGCCATACGTCGAAGTTTTGGCGTCCTCTTAATTTTTCAAAAGGAAAGCTGAGTGTTCCTGTTGCCATTTTTAATTGATTTAAAACTTTTTGGTGAATAAGCCCATAACCTATTGAGCAGAGATAGACACGCGCAGTTTCAATGTAAGATGGCGACAGACTTCATTCAGTATATAAGAAACATGTAATACAATGGAATAATGGAAAGAAGAAAAGTGATAACTAGAGTTGCCAGATTTATATTATTTTACAATAATTATTTAATTTGTCTTACCTTTTTCAGACAATCTTAGGCTTTCTGCACATTGGTCGTCCAATCATAGTTGCTTCATCGTCACAATCATGATGCTACGATTACATTACGACTACACTTTCGCACACTCGGTAGTGATATTTCAATTCATTTGGCGTTTAAAAATTCACTTGGAGAAGGTATTTTCTGTTTTTCTGGTTGATATTTTCGCGAAATATTTACAAAAACCTGCAATTATTAAAATATAGACTTTGCTGCAACAATTCTAGACATCATTTTGCAGTAACATCTCTTCTTGTCTTTTCCTGAAATGTGTTTTGTGCATGCACACAGGGACTTTTTACAATTTCGTAATATTTTATAGCTAAAACATTCACATTTATTGAATTTTGATGCAGTTATCCACTTTTTAATAATTTCCAATGATTTTATGCAAAAAATACTAATTTTTATGCAATTTTGATGCAAATATTAACTTTTTCACTAATTTATCACCATAAAATGTAAACAAACAATGCGTGCACAACGATTAGGAAACGGCAGTGCCGGACTTATCCGTTTCTGCATCTTCTACGATTTGCCGATAACAAGCCGATAACGACAAGTGTGCAGATCTCCTTTGAAATGCATGTGCTCGGCTCAAAATTTCAGGGCGAGACGATAACTCAACTATGATTGGACGACAAGTGTGCAGATAGCCTTAGACAAGCTGCAGTTGATCAAGCAAGCTGTCCACACGGTGCAGCGAACAAAGGTGGCGCCGTCAGTGGTACCGCTACTTTGGTTTTGCCGATTTTGGCAGTTGTGGTAACTTGTAAATAAACCTTTGTTTACAAATCAGCGAAAGAGAAATTTGAATTATAAGTGAAAAATCAGTTTAAATCGTGTTAATTTGCAATTTGTGGGTGATTTTTGAATTGAAGACTGTGTAAAAACCAATACAATGAAGTGCTGTGTGTTAAGTTGCGACAACCGTCAAGACGCAAGAAGCGTAGATGCAAGAGTAGCGCTGGGACGAATCGCTGCATTTTGTGTAAATAGGGCACGGCAAAGCCGTTCCCGAAATGTTTCTCTATTATTATATTAACAGCCTTTCCTCACAATGATTTTGTTTCTGCTCCACGCAGCCTCCATTAGCAAGTTAACTAATCAGTCCCGCAGAGATGCTGCTGCAGTTTTCTGTAGCAGCCTTAATTGCAGAGCAATGGAGTGCACTAAAACGTTTGCTGAAGCAGCCTCAATTGCAAAGCAATGGAGTGCACTACAATGTTCACTGTTCTCTAATAGATTAGGTGAAAAATGCAATATTTTCGCATTTAGCAAAATTAAAACACGTTTTTCGCAGTAAAGTGAACTGCTTTGGCTGTTTCAACTCGTTCTTCTTTTCGCTCTATTCTTTGTTTACTTGTGGTACACAAATGTCAACGCCCAGGACGGCGCAATCTTGTATTCTATCATTCTTGAGCTGTCCAGTTGAAACCGAAACTGCTTACCCCAAAACTGACAATATGACAGCTTCCCGAACTACAAGCAATCCCACTTCATATACGGAAGGTATTAAAAATTAACTTTCTTAGTTTTTATTGTTATTATTTTTTTTAAATGCAGCTTAAGCAGTTATTAATGATCGGCTAAGCACATCTGTGGGTTAACGTACCAGCGATTATCCATTTTAGTGAACGTAGGCCCAACTGTTGTGGAAACGTCAGGGAAAGGTCCACATGGTACCTACTCGACTCGACTGGCAATATCAAAAATCCGATGGCTGTTTTTAAAGGCGGATCTCCATAGCATGCGTATGCGTACCTAGACGCATGAAAACAAAACAAAAATTTATGAATTTTGAATTCTAAGCGTAAATGTCAAACTCACGCATACGGATACGCATGCTATGCAGCTCCGCCTTTAGCCGCTCATAAGGTGCACAAACTTTTTTTCAAATACGCACTCTACACAATTTTTTACTAAAATGCATTCATTTTAACAGATTATGGTTTATTTAAGTTGAGTAAAGTAGTATATGTAAAGTGTTATAGGCGAATTTACATGATTCAACATTCACCGGCGATTAGTTGAACCAAAAGTTTAACCCAAGTAGGCAGCTGACCAACTTCATTGAAAGCGATTAGTTGAAAGGCCATTTACACCATTCAACTGCTGCATTCAACTAAAAGTTGCCTGTAAAATCGCCCCATGTAAATTCCCTATTAAATATCAGCAATATTATCAATACTTTTTTTATATATTAAAATGTTATTTGTTTTTGTTATTTTATGGCCTTAAAACAATTATATTCAAACATTTTTATGAGCTTGAGGCCGTTTTTAGTGAAAACTTATTGTGGAAAAGCAACAATAATTTGGAAAAATGATAGAAGTGATAGCTATTTCGGAATTCACCACATTTGCTCATCAGACTTCTTTCAAAAACAACAACCTCATTTTGTGTTGGTACTTGCAGTGTGCACATCGCGGATTAATGCATCGTAGCCATGTGCGTTAATTGAATTTTTGATAAAAGAGGCTAAATTAGTATATGTATATGTATGTACATACATATAAGTAAAATATAAATATATTTAAGTAACACATACATAAAAAAACCAGTCATAAGTATTTCAGTTGTTTAAGAGTTTAAGGGCCGGTTACTCAATGTCTGGTTAACACTAATCTCCGGTAAACATCGTTATCGACGTTACCGACTCCATGTTATATGCATGGAGCCGAACACGTCGATAATGACGTTTAAACGGAGATTAGTGTTAACCAGACATTGAGTAACCGGCCCTAAGCAAGATAAATGAGAATGTGTTAGTTTCCATCACACAATTCTTGTCCGGAATTGTTAAAACACATTGGCCCGTAGTCATAGTCAAAATAAAGTCGACTTTAAAGTTAGTTGCAGCTTTTTTGACAGATATCCCATTGAAAATTATGTCAAAAAGCTGCAACTAACTTTAAAGTCGACTTTATTTTGACTATGACTACGGGCCATTCATTACACATTATAAGGTGGTGTTGATGGCGAATTTAGATTTTCGCCGAGGTGCGTCTTAATGTCAAAGTTATGTGTTTGTTGTAAAATGAATTCGCCTTGATTACAACAAACACATCACTTTGACATTCAGTAGTACTGCGGCGAAAATTTAATTCGCCATCAACACCACCTTGTATAAATTCGACTTGGTGTCCACATTTACGATTTATTAAACACCTACATTATCCATTCATTAAGACCGATTTATTTTATTATTTATTTCTTTTGTTATGTTTATTCTTACAACGAGTTTCTGCACCTCCTTGTCTTCTTCAATTTTGTGCACACCTCTTATATGACGCTTAATCCTGAAAAATTATATACATACACATATACATATATGTACATGTAGGGCATAATCATACTTTATTACTAACTTGTAAGCATCTGGAAACTGCTTTTCACAAACGCCACATTTATAAGGTAATCCAGTGTGTTGCATGCGATGATTATAGTATTGATCATATTTGGAGAATTTAGAACCACAAATCACGCACTTGTAACTGAAATATCCATGGTACTGCATGTGCCTATTTAAAATACGTTTGTGGATGAAAGATTTTCCACAAAGGTGATTTAGGTCTTGTATGAGCAAGATTGAGTTGTTTACTTTTTTCGATAAGACCAGCCCAGCTTCATTTAAGTTATTGCCGCTCTGCATATCCTTATCCGATTAAACTAGAAACTTTGTTGTTGTTGTAGTGTCAGTACTAAGGCCCCTATTGCGAGTGTCGACTGGCAGTAGAATAGAAATTTGTCGATCGAGTCGATCATCTTTTATTTTGCTATTGTGTAACTTGATCGATAAAAATTTGTACTATTGTGAATGGTTGACAGAATTGTAAACAGCTGTTTGTTTGTTTATATTTGTTTCTTAAGTGTTTTATTTACATCATTTTTAAAATAATTGCTTTTATTATAAAATTAAAAAAATGGACACAGTTGAAATATGGTTTAGTGATGGGAAAGATGATGCGGAAGCTAATAGATTAGTAGAGTTAGCTAAAGCAAGGAGGGGATTGCGAGATTCGTCGGATCCCTTGGACTTTGAAGGTGTATGTACACGTGTGAGTTTTATGAATAGAAGTTGCGTTCCCGATGCTTCACAGTTTTTAGGCTTTACATGATTTGCAGGAAAAGCTGTTTTCCTCATTAATAAACTTTATGGAAGTTTAAGAAATACGGTACGGTTAAGTTTTTTGTACAATGATGTTGGGTTTTTGTGTCCAAACGCGTGACCCGAGTTTAAAAATTTTAACTTAACAACATAATAAGTGTATTGAAAGAATTCAACTTTAATTTAAAATAAAGATTTCAAATTTCCGAGCACTAGTCAATTAATAAATTATGCAGTTTTTTTGTATAAACTTTTGATGTTGGTTCTGCGCAAAAACACTGTGGATGGCGTAGCCGGAGTTATATGCACAAGAAATATTGTATATGTATCTTTTCCAATAGAAGCGGAGCTTCCTACCCTACTCTTTCCGGAAATTCCTTTGCCTATGTCTTCACTCTCCTGCATCAGTACGAACAACCGCGCAAGTTGCCTTTTGTTGCTTTGTCGCGTACACGTGTCGCCCATTTTCAGACCACCATTGTGGTTGCCCTGGCTAGCTCAGCGATTGGGTGGTCGGGATCCTTAACCCTTGCCACAATGGTGCCGGGCGGACGTGGCGGCTCGTTCACTGGCATATCACACCCACAGGAAGCCCACCCATCCATGGACCGCCTGATGTGTCTCCTTGCGGTCTCCCTTTTGCCGTGCTCCAATTCCCCCCCTTAGCTTACCCCCCTTGTCATCTTCGCCTCCCCTGCTTGAGGGATTAAGTCCACATATTAAATTCTTTCATATACACGTTAAAATTTATTATAAAACATAGGAATTTACACACAACAAAATCAATGAATTTTATGATCGGTTTCCGGCCGCCACAACAAAAAGGAACCAATCAAATCGATCACCGTTTATACACGTATGTCAAACAAACTATATAAAAACCTGCCACCCTACCTACAAGAGCTCTTTTCGGATGGTGTGAAGGGTTTCCGGGAGCCGGATATTCCCCGCTCAGAAACTACTACAATTTACCCTTTTGTTTGGGTTCTTCTTGCCTGGCGGGCACAAAGACAATAAAAAAAAACGAAAGTATAAATACGTACAAACTTATTAACAAATTATCTACGCAACACAAATGCCTGAACGTATATATTACAAATAATGAAATGTTCAAAAAAATTAATATTTCTCGGACTATACTTGGGACGCGCAGTGTATCATCTAATCCCAATGATTGGGTTATAACATGCCGGTGGTGGTCTCGACTGACCCCTTACACAAACCGGAAGGCTGAATCTTTGCTCCTCGGTGCGAGCTTTAAAAAAAATCCTTTTGGGTAGATATTTCCCTCGCGCAAAAGCTTTTGCATAGAATTTTCTGATACTTAAGCCTAGCACTCACCAGCGAACTGTGCCGTACCCTTTTCGCCTTCACTCTGGCGTGGTTCACCTTATCTCCTGGCACACTAGGGACACACAAAAATGTTCACTAACACCTGACAAAATAAATATTTTCGTCACTTACGTGTCGTTGGGGGGGGGGCGGGTTCTTCCACGGGTTTCGTGCTTTGGGCCTTATATGGTCGTCACCGCTGATGGCCAATCCTCCTGCCTTGGCAAGTATAATAAAGGCTTCTCCCTCTTCTTGCCTCTGATGACCACGTTCTCCCGGGCGCTTAGAGGTGATCGTGGGCTCTTCGCCTACACTCCTCACAATTTATTTATTTTTTTGTTTTTACAACTCGCGACTTAAAAAAAAACAAAATGCATTTAGCATTTATTTTTATTTCACTAAAGAAAAGTTTTGGACTTTACTGGACTTTTTTTTAAAAAACGACAAGGCTCAACTAGCGCGCACTGTCTGTACGTTGCAATGACACCGGCAATTCTTTTCTTACGGAACTCAGCCGACCCCTTTTATATGCTATTTGTCAGGCCTCCATGTCTTCTAATCACCGTTCTTTCCGCTTTCTTCATTGTTCACGACCCGGCCAATCGTGGTATCGCGCACCCTATTGCTATCCCTCTCCACGGGATTTTCCCCAAACTCTCCAAACTACAACTTTTCGTCTGGCAACATCTGCCCATCAAAAGCTTCATAATTTCCCTTTTGACCTTCTGCTTTGTTTGACGTTTCTTCATGAGAACAGAAAAATAAATAGAGCGCTGGGTAAGTAAATGAAACATGGTATTTTAATTTTAATGATTTATTATCGGCATTAACTCTTTTCAGGTGGTCCAGGGATAGCTACTGTGGTATTTAGGCAAACGCCCAACGTGGGGAACACCCATACCCTGACAGCTTATAATTTTTGATCTGTAATTCAGACACATACATGCATATGTATATTTCACAATTTTTTACAACTTCCAGTTCAATTGACTTACTTTTTATCCATTATAGTACCACTTTCTTATGTAAATTTTATAAACGCAAACTCCAACGACTAAAAAACAGCAATAGAAGAATGAGCGATTAAAAAGTATTCACAGTCGCTAATTGAGCGACTAAGCGACACTCGCAATAGCATCGCTAATCGATAATCGCTTAATAGTCGTTTATCTACTGCCAGTCGACACTCGCAATAGGGGTGTAAGTTTTTTATCAATATTTATTTCGTGTTCGATATCATTTGATGCAGATGTTTCATCATCATCCATAAAATGTTCATTCCATTCTGGTGATACTTTTATATCCTCTACGTGATCCTTGTAAACAAATAGAAAATAATTATTGTTTAATTATATCTAAATCGTATTTGATATACCATATCTACAGTATCTGGCATCTTAGTTACTTCCATTAGCTCTTCATGTACTGGAACCCATTCAAAAGTGTTGGCTATACTTTCTATCTTCACTTTTTCCGTTTGTGTGCAACGTAATTCATTATCAGCTCTTCTCGCCTTTTCAATAAAATCATAAACGTCTTTAAGTTTTTGGGCACAATCAAGGCATAGATATTGCATCCGGGCATCATCGAGTTCATTTGGATCATCTTTCAGACTTAAATTAATTTGTGTACATTTACAAAAACACTCTTTGTATGATATATCCAAAGAGTCAACAGGCTGATGCCAATCTAGCAGATGCACCCGATCTTCCGGCGACAAACAGGCACGGCATATATTTGATAAATCCATCTGAACTTTTCACCACTGCCGTATTGATAATTCAAGTCTTAGTCGGTAAAAAATAGTTTTGTAGAATGAGTGATTATATATTGGTAAGACAGAACAATTTGAAAATAGGGATGTCGAAAATATTTCAATATAAAAAGTGGTACAATTTTAATGCTTTTAAAATTCGACTGTCCGACAAATCGATTTCTTCGGTAGATATAGTGATGTTCCGATATCAGTGAAAACTATCTCCTGAAATTGAATCAAAATAAATTAAAATGTACTTTAATAAATTTAAGGAAAAATATTGTTATAAACTTACAAATTGGTCATAGGCAAAAGATTGTTTCTTTTGTTTACTTTTTACCGCTCTTCTTCTGCCATTGTTTACTATTCACGGTGCATTATCAAACGTCAAAATTACTGGCCTACTACTATTTCAAGCAGAAGAAAGAACACGAACATTGTCTTGTGCATTTTCTTAAGAGCTGGATACTAAAGCCCTGTATGCAGCTCTCAAGAAAACGGTCAAGAAAAAATTGCCATTATTTCGTGTGTGTGTCCAAGGAATTTTGACATTTTTGGTACTTCACAGCCTGTTGCCTCACTCTTTCCTCAAGAAATAATGGAACGGGCATATATTTCTGTTGCAAACCTGGGTTGCCTTGTGCTCTTTTTTCACAAAAAACTTTAGAAACCCATATTAGAAAGCGTAGTTAATTTCTTAAGAAAGTAAAAATAAGCTTTTTATTGCAATCTTTTCTTGACCGTTTTCTTGAGAGCTGCATACAGGCTATTTAATCAGATTATCGGTCTACGCAACACCATTTTGGGGAGACAAAGCAAACTGGAGGCTAAGGTCGATGATTTGCGAAAGAAGATAACCGAAAATGTCAGAAGTTTACTCATTTTCGTATAATATTATCAGCCCATAATGAAATAAACATACGGTTAATAAAATTTAAATATTAAAGGAAGTTTTCGTTTTCAAGAATTTTAATTTATACGTTTTTGCGAAAGAGGATTTTGAAGTCTTCAATTCATATTTAAGAAGTCATTTTCGTTTTGCACAATAAATCTTGATGTTTCAGATGCCAGATCGATGCGAGGTGGTGGCTCAGCAATAAACTCTCCGAGAATGCAAATTGCTTATCAAAAAGGTCCATCAGTCATTCTGTCGAATAAAAGGGGGCGCTGTTATTGAGTTCCAATTGGAAATTTCAGATGTTCTCCTATTAAAAGCCATCGACGCATTGTTTGATGTGTAGGAAAAACTACAAGGCAATGAATATAAAGAGGAAATGGTATGAAAGAAATAGAGTTAATTACATTATTTCTATACTCTAGGTGTTATTATAACGGACCAATAATGTGCATTAATATATTTTGTTATTTGCAGATATCTTACATATTCACATTGGGCGCTCCGTCTGGAAATATTGATGGGACGATAAAAAAATGTTTTCGGACGAATTGTTAATCAATTTTAATTGGGATG